AGCAGATAACTGCACACAGAACCCACAGCCTAAAGCAATAAGGTTATCCTTTGACACCCAGAGAGAGGACAAGTCCTTCCAGGAGTGCATAAGAGCTGGATGGGTGGATGGCAGAGACCTCTTGCCGCCTGCCCTCTCCAACCCTGTGCCTGTCTTTATGTCCAATGCAGAAAAAGGAGCTGGAGTGAGACTCCCCAGCTCTGACCAGAGGGCAGCAAACAGCTTCTAGCATGGAGATTCTGCTAGGCCCAAAACCTGGGCCAGGAATTGCTTTTTAAAACAGACTCACTTTGGATACTGTCTGTCACTCAGTGGGATTGGATCACTTAATGGAACCTGCTTATCAAAATGATGAAACTAAGATTGCTTTTTACCAGGCATCAGCCTCCTGGTTAAGCAGTTCACATACACATGTACTTAGGGATGGAAGTGCTGCAGGAAATGAAAGATGCCGCGGTGGGGATAAAAAGCTCCAGTGCAAAGACCCCAAATACTAGCTTCATGTTTCTTCTCAAAAACTCATGCCCTTGAGTCAGCATATGAAATACCCAACCTCCATGATCACCTCTTTCCCCCACACAGCCCTCCTGTCTCATGCCCAAAAGGGACATCAGAGAAGCCATTTTTCTTGTTGTAGGATATGGGTAATTGCACAGGATGCAATGGCTCTTCACTGATTGACTGAGTAACACATAAACACATCAGGCACCCCTGGAATTGATGGAGAAGTCTGTCATGATCTGTGTAAGCAGCTGCCCTGCTTTGCACCCAGCCACAGCTGAGAGCAGGAGACAGGCCCTTTAATTTGGGTTCCAGATGATGCCTTCCTTGGCCCTGTTTGAGAAGTATAAGAAGGTCTATGTATGTCCCATCTTTATTTGACTTTCTAAGCATTGCCTTGTAGCCATGACTACCACCATCTAATATGAAGTGGCAAAACCACCAGGGCCCAACAGCTGCATCCACTGGGGCACACAAGAATATCACAAGATGCTCCCTTCTCCCCAGCAGCTCCATCCTTCGCCAAACACACACTGACCTTTATTCTTGTTTAACTTTATTTCTCCACAGTCAAAGGAATATTTGTTCATCATGAAGTATTTGGAAAATACAAGAAAATGAGAAAGAACGTCTTCCTGCAATTCAGTCATAGTTCCAGTAAAAGAATTAGTAGATGATCCTTTACTCTTTTCACTATACACATTTACACATGTGTATAAGAGTTAACATTTATTAAATGCTGCAGAGTATCAAGTGCTTTACTAATGATTCAAGTGTATTTCATTTCTTTTTCATCATAAACTCTCAGTAGAAAATACTATTCATAATCTGTATGAGTAGTTACATGATATATACAGTTTTGTTTACTAGAGTTTAACACTAAAGCATTAGCATTTTCCATTTTACTGAAATTTTTAGTTGTCATTTTTAATGCTTTTTTATTTTTAATTTAATTTAATTGCATATTTTGAGTTTAACACATTAGATACTTTTAAATACCTTTACTAAGGAGTCAAGATGTTTCTGATTTATTATCCATAAATGACACTAATGAACATCTTCGTACAGAACTATTTTCTCTAAGTAATATTACTTGAAGATAGTGTCTTACAAATGAAAATACTATAGCAAACGGGTATAAATATTTTTAGTGGTTTATTCAGTCATTTGCAAAACTGATCCCTAAAATTCAAAACACTTTTATGTAAAAAACATGCTATCCATCATTGTCAGAAGTTACTAACCCTATTAACCTATTGTCTTAGTAACTTTCTTATTGCTGGAACAAAATACTTCACATTCACAAGTTAAAGGAGGAGAAGTCTATTTTGGCTCACAGTTTGTAGAAGTTTCAATGCATACTTGGCTGGTTCCAAGGCAGGGCAGCATAGCAGAGAGACATGGCAGATGAGAAACAGTTCACGGCTTGGCAGGCAGGAAGCAGAGAGGGATCAAGGGAGGAGGAGGGAGATAACCCTTCCAGGACATGCCCCCAGTGACCCACCTCCTCCAAGCAGGCTTCACATCCCAACATTACGCCCAGCTATGGACCCATCAGTGGGCTAATTCACTGATGAGTATCACACACCCATGGTCTAGTCACCTCACCAAACTGCCACCCATGAGTGCATGGGGATTTGGGAGGACACCTGCTAAGAGTAAAACAGCATTTTAAATAGTTTTTAAACTTTAATACTATTTTCACCACAAAATTTCACATAAAACTTAAAACCCTATTTAACACAAACAACAAAACTTTTTTAAAGTGTACTAATGTAGTATAAGTTACTTGTGAGTTGTTTGGTAAATAAAAACATAACAAGCCTAAAATCCTTCCATAATCCTACTAGCATCCAGATATTGTCAATTTTAAAATTTCAGTGAGTTCTTCCACTCCTTAAAAGAGAAACCAGACAGGTAGGTAGGTAAGTGGATAGATAGATAGATAGATAGATAGATAGATAGATAGATGCTATAATCCTTTTTGTATACTTATCCACTGATTATTATATAATATAAACCCCCTAAGAGATTCTAGATCGTCTGACACAACATGCTTCCCAAGAGGGTCATACCAATGACTAAGTCCCACAGTGATTGGGGAGCCTCTCCCAACAGCTACCACACAGGATGTTTTCCACAGATCCCATTAAAGGCTGAAATGGGAGATGGTCCCTCTCCACTACAGCCCAGATCACAAATAGAGCAAAATTATCTGGTGGATATCACTGCTGTTTGAGACCAGATGGCTGAGCATTCACTCTTGTATAGAACATAATACCCCTCAGCTCTCTGCTGATCTGAAGAAGGTGACAGATTTTGAGAAAATGAATCTTTGACCAGGGAAGGACTGTCATGGCTAAGCAACAGGAAAACAGGTTCTGAAGACGGGAACTTGTCAAACCAGTAAGATGAAGCGAGCTGCTCATGGAGGTATTTTTAGAAGCCTAATCCAGCTGGGAGAGGGCAGGGGGAATCTAGTTTTGTACTAAGGGTCTAGTGACAGGCAGTTTAACCTACTGAAATTGTCCTCTGACCTCAGCTCTGGGGAGAGGACCCTGCATCAATTGTGGGGTGCTCCCTCCCCTCAGGAGTGTCTGCCATGGCTCATAGGAAGCATGCTGCTCGGGCTTCCACAGAGTCTTTGGAGAGAGCAAGGGAACAGCCTGAGGGGACCAGACATGGTTTCCAAACCCACATTTCCATGACCCACCCAGACACACCTGGAAGTGTGCTTTACTGCACATCTCTCTGGCTGATCAAAGTGACCATCAAGATGAACCATGAGCTGCTTGCCACAAGGACTACTGTTTACCATGGCTCTGCAAGCCCTCAGAGTGGCTTCCATCAGCCCCCAGGATTCCCTCCCTTCTTGTGAGAGCCCAGCAGGGTCTCCCTCTTCCTTTCAGAATTGAAGCCCTTTCTCTATCTGCAATACAAATAGAGTGGGATGGGGATGGGGGAGAATAGTTATTCAACAGAAGATCCCTGTTCAGTGCATTTGTGACCTCTGTAACCTCAGTTACACTTTAGAATCTGATGTTCCAGCCCCAACCCTGACCAACCCTGAATTGAAATCCCTGGTACATTGTTAAGCTCCTTAAATTGGTTCTATGCAGTCACAGCAGAGAACATCCTGCTTCTGTGGTTGGCCCAGCATCCCTTCTTTAGCACTTCTTCCGGGCACTGGTGCTGGGCACTGGTTCCAGGACCCCCACAGATACTCACAATTAGAGATGCTCAAGTCCCTTGCACAAAGTGGTGTCATGTTTACATATAATCTGGACAGATCCTCCTGTGTACCTCATCTTTAGATCACTCATAATACCTAATACAATGTTACTGCTACATAAATAGTTACTATAATGTATTATGTAGAGAATAATAGCAATTTCTTAAGTCTATACATGTTCAACTTTTTTCCTTAATATTTTTTATTTGCATCTGGTTTGAATCTATGGATAGGGAGCCCATTGGGTATGTATGGCTGACTGTACTGGTAAGTCTTTCTGGATGGTTTACTTTAGTTTGAGGGGTTCACTTTCCTCATCCAGAAAATGAGGAGATCCATCAGACCCATGGTCTCTAACTTGGGATGCACTTTCTGTTGGCATCCACCAAGGAAGTTCTGAGCTCATTAAGTTACCTTCAATACTGGGAAACTGCACGTTTACAGGTGTTAAAAGTACACATGTTAAGGAAGCTGCTGGATTTCTTTACTTTTACTTGTAATTACATAGGCCTAGTGTGTTGAATCTGGTTTCAAAATATAGGATTAGTGGAAAGAAGGGGAAATATGCTTGGTGATTAAAAATGAAGAAAGGGAGAAAGAAAGAAGAAAAGTTGACTCTGCCTCAGGATTTCACAGATTCCTTTCAGTTTTTTCATCCAGTGGTTTGCTAACATCTGGAAAGAGATGAATCACTTCAGAGGCAGCATGTATAATCTCTAAATGCCGCCCCCATAAAAGACACAATGTATTCAGTCGCTCTCTCTTCTTTGCAGTTTGTTCTAAGACTGGAAGCCAACACCCCTGAAAAGAACCGGTCCTGGATTCAGGGATCTCAGCCCAAAAGGTCTTGGTTTACTTGAAGAAACCCAGAGTCTGGCAGCTGCCATTGGGTGAGAGAGCATGAACAAAGAGAATATTGTCAGGTACACATCCATGCACTGTGACAAAGTAAAACATTTTGCTACACGACAGATAAATACTTCCCGACATTCCATCTGCTTTTTCCTTTTTAAAGTCCTCCTGCACCACTCCCAACCAGCAGTTAAATTATTCTAGCCAACAAGACCACTTCCCCAGGCAACATTTTCCTTCTCTGAAACTAGGAGGGATTTCATCAAGGAAGCAGAACCGGTGCTCCTTAGGCTGGTTGCGCTTTTCACGACGTTTCCAAGGGAAACGCCCCCTTGAGTTTCGCTCTTGCATAGGCAGGCAGCTCTGGTAGTCGTTGCTAGGCAACATGTCATCATAAATATTTCATCAGGGAAAGAAAGCCTATCACGGTGAAGCTGTCCTTTAGCTATTCTAGTACTCCAGCATATATGTATATATGTTAGACATCTACCACTTCAATGTTCCTGGATGTCTATTATAAGACAAAGGAATCAAGTGGAAAACTTTAAACTCAGGTAACAGCAATAAGTAAATTAGAAAATATAACAAGATCAAAAAGATCTCATTCATAATATTCTTCAGTCATCTCGGACTGCTATAATACAATTCCACAGACCGAGTGGCTTAAACAAGAGGTATTTATTCCTTACAGCTCCGGAGGCTGAAACTCCAAGATTAAGGTGCCAACAGATTATTTCTTAGGGAAGGGCCCTCTTCCTGGCTTGTAGATGGGCCCATTCTTGCTGAATTCTCACATGGCTGATAGAAGAGACTGGGGTGTCTCTTCCTCTTCCGTAAGTGCACTAATCCTTTCGTATGACCTCATCTAAATTTAATTACCTCCCAGTGGCCCCGGCTCCCCACACCATCACAAAGAGAGCTGGAGAGCATCGACATATGGATTATAGGAACCTAAATATTAGTCTATGAAAGCTATCGACGAATTTCCAAATGCTGCTTGTCAACATTTCGCATAGGACATATGGCAAGTCATTAAATTGAGAATAAAAGATTCATTGATGTTGAGCATTGTAACATCAATGATTTTTTAAAAGAAGTCTCTAAACATAGGAGTCACAAAACTCTGGAATATAATCAAAATACTAAGAGTGATTCCCTGCCCCCAGGAGATTAGAACTATGGATACGGTAGACAGAATTCAGAAATGGGCTATAAATTTCCCACCTCCTGGTAGACATGCCCTAGAAAATGTTCCCTTGGGGGTATGCAGGACCTAGGTACATGACAGAATAGCATCCCTATAATTATATAGCAAAAGACATTTTTGCAGATGTAAGGAAGACCTCTGATCAGTTGAATTAATCAAACAGAGGACATTTGGGGTGGGCCTCACCTAATCAGGTGAGCTCTTAAAGGGGTCTAGAGTTTGGAGATGAAGGCAGTAGGGGAGCCCCAACCACTGTAGAAGAAAGAGAAGGGCTGAGCAGAGGGTTCAGCTATGCTAGACCCAGACTCCTGACCCATAGAAGTAGTGAGATTGTTATTGTTTAAAACTATGTTTGCGGTAATTTGTTACATAGCAATATGACTGTCATTCACTCTGTTTTTAGAAATTCTTGTCTTATTTTCATGATAAACAGACTGAGGACAAAGTTGAAGACTCCGCTGGATTTTTTAAGTGCATCATTGACAAATGGAGTTCTCCATTTCCTGACGCTCGACTTTCACAAATTTTCTTTCTGGGTCTCGTCAATAAGAGTTTCATTATGACACTAACTCAGAAGCTACTTTAAAGAAGTGTGCCTTATAAATGGACCTTCCTCTGGGACTAGAAAGAGACCAGATTCCAGGGTCCTAAAGAATAAATAGAACAACAACAACAAAAAAAAGAATAAATAGAAAAGCACATGGGGATATATAGAAATGTATATCCACCACTGTCTTTCTTATAAGATAAAATTCATATTAAATGATTTTTTCTTATTTCACATTGTCTAGTACACATTTTGATCTCTATTTACATTTTCAGTTTCTTACACCAGAGATATAATGCAATATTTACACATGTGTGTCTGGTTTATTTTAAGAATATAGCTTCAAGGTGCATCCATTTAGCTGTAAATGTCTCACATTTGTCCTTCTCTATGGCAGAGTAATATTCCATTGTATAGAAAAACCACATCTTCTTTATCCATTCATTGGCTGATGGCCATTTGGCTTGTTTCCATGATTTAGCTATTACAAACTGTGTTGCTATAAACATGGGTGTGCATATATTGTTGTGGTGTGATGCTTTTAATTCTTTTGGGAAGATACTCAGAAGAGGAATAACTGGGTCAAATGAGACCTCTAATCCTAGTTTTTTGAGGAATCTTCACACTGATTTCCATAGTGGTTTCACCAGTCTGGACCCCCACCAGCAGTGGAGCAGGGTTCCTTTTTCCCCACAGCCCCACCAGCATTTGTTGTTGGTTGATTTCTTCATATTAGCCATTCTTTCTGAAGAGAGATGGAATCTCACCACTGTTTTAATTTGCATTTCTTGGATGACCAGCAATGCTGAACATTTTCTCATATATATATTTGCCATTTGTACTTCTTCATCTGAGAAGTGTCTGTTCATTTCAGATGCCCACTTTTGGAGTGGGTCTTTAAATTTAGGAGGTTTAACTGTTTTCAATTCTTTGTATGTTCTAGATATTAGTCCTTTGTCTGAGGGACTACTGGTTAGAATTTTTTCCTTCTTATCACTCTGTTGGTGATTTCTTTTGCAGTACAAAAGCTTTGTAATATGGTGAAATCCCAGTTGTTGATTCTTTGTAGTATTTCCTGTGCAGTCTGGGTTTTGTTCATGAACTCTTTGCCTACCCCTAGGCCCTCAAGAGTTCTCCTTATTCTCTCTTCAAAAAATCATTCAATAGGATTAGAGAGAGGGAAGAGGGAAAGGAAGGAAGGAAAAAGAAAAAATGAGAAAAGAAGGAAAAATGAAAACAGGGCTTTTGTAAATAAGAAAGGAGAAGAGGGGTTGAAGGGAGGGGAGGGAAATGGGGAAAAAAAGGAATCAAGATACATTATATAAAGGTACAAATTCCCTATGATGACTGTGATATGTAAATCTAAATTGTACCAATAAAATTAAAATGATAAATTTTTTAAAAGATAAAGTTCAAAGCAAGCATGAAGGCTTAGTAATAGGAGATGGATTAAAAGTGTGATCTGTTCATGGACTACTATATGCTCACTTTAAAGATTACACAGTTCTATTTTTATCACTGTGGAAAGATCTTTATGTCATGTATTAGAAACAGGTTACAAGAACGTATAACGGGAAAATTTCAATTTGTTTTAAAAAAGATAGATGAGGATACGTATATAGGCATCTAGACAAGGAGAAAGATAAAAGGCTATCAGTGAGGTTGGACACTGTAGGGAACAGGGAAAGGGGACATTACTAGAACCTCTGCAGTAAGTCCTAGTCTCCTGCGAGCCACAGCAGCACAAGGCGAATTAATTTATTATGCAGGAAAGGTAGAAAAATGAGACTTTGAGAAGAAGCTGAAATTTAGGCCTGATCAGTGCTGCTCTGGGCAGCAAAGAGGAAAGCCCCCAGCTTACCGCACCCTTTATTCAGTAGATCAGGAGAAACAGATGTAACAAATGGCTTGCAGAGAGTTTAGTACATCCAGATAAACAAGGTGTAACAAATAACTTGCAGAGAGTTCAGTACATCAGGATAAACAAAGTGTAACAATCCAAGAACAATGAGGAACTGAGTAGATGAAGATTTTGTTCCTCCCAGGATGTCTTCAGCTGGTGTGATCTTGTCCTGGAGAATCACAGCATCACCGAATCATTGAGGTCTCGCTTGTGACCAGAGGGCAAAATGGAATTATGTCTCAAAATGCCATAGCTGGCCTGTAGGCAGGAGAACTAGGCCTAATCAAATGGTTTTTCCCTAAAATTATGTAGCATTGCTCCCAACAGGACATGAAAGTGATAAGAAGAGTCATCTCTCGGGGCAGAGATTTAGCTCAGCGGTTCTGCCACCTGCCTTGAAAGCACAAGGACCCGAGTTCAATCCCCGGTACCAAAAAAAAAAAGAATAGTCATCTCTCATAATTATTTTATGGTACCTTCCTTTTTGCTGATTTGGAATTTCTAATTGTTCTTCAACAAAAATACATTAATTGTGCAATTTTGAAAATGCAGAAAAAAATAAGCTACCCAATAGATGAAAGACAAGAAAGGCACATGAGACTGCTCATTAAGAGAAAAACGTAGGTTTCTATTTAACAGTCAATAGCCCTTTGACTTTCCTCAAGTTTTGTTAACTGGTGGCAAGATTCGTACTTGTTTCATGTTCACAGCAATGGTTATATCATTGATCCATTTTAAGAGAGGATTGATCTCCAGAATACTCAGATCAATCTGTTTTTCTTAGCATTAATGCAAATTACAGGGTCCAGTATTCAGTAATGTTGTTACAAAGCAAATAAGAAAAACATGGAGAAGGCCATTCCCATGGGACATACTGGTGCTTAGTGCAGGAAGCATGTAGTGGGAGACATTCCTACTGATACAATGGATCCTTTCAAATCACCTTCCCCTCACCTTAAACTGCTGCATAAATAACAATCTTACTCTTCAGGTTCAGAGTCTTTTTCCTATGGCTAAAGTCTGTATGACAAAAGGCATTTAAAGCCATCCCAAAAATCACTGGATATGTTGTCCAGTGAGACATCTTCCCAGGGAGGTGACCCTTGGCACATTTCTCTTCATGATTCCAGGGAACAGAAAGGCATCTACTGTACAGGTGGTGTAGTGAGGACTTTGCTTCCAACCAGGGAGCCTACAGCAGTGGTTCTCTGCTGGGGATGATTCTGGTGCCCAGAAGACACTTGGCAATTGGAGACATTTTGAGGGCCACACCCAGGGTGGGGTTGTGCTATCAGACCCAATAGGTCGAGGCCATGGATGGTGCTAAATACTGTGTGATTCACAAGACAACCCCTCGAAACAAAGAATTTTCAAGCCCCAAATTTCTATAGTGTGGAGCTTCAGAAACCCCAGTCTAGACAGTCAGAGAGATGTCAAACCAGTGGGTGCCAGGATGGAGAAGCTCTCTTACAAGCTCCAAATATCAACACATGGAGCAGCAGCTCCACAGTCATACCCATTTCCAACCAATATTGGGCAACCAGGAGCAGGCTCACTCTCTTGCCTCACATAACTAGAAAATTAGGCAAACAACTTGAAAATAACACTTATGAGGCATCGGACAACAGGCCACCATCACTGACACAGACAAGCAACTGACATGAGCCCTATACCTGTTTCAGCTGCCTGCTGGGGGCATTGCTCGGACTGCAACACAGGGCAGAGAAACCCAGGTAGGGCTAGGTGCTGTCCTCGAGTTGAGACAGTGGCAGAGTCAGTGAGGCCAAGGCAACTGGAACTTACAGGAAAACAGAACAAATCAATACAGAAAAGGTCCAGAGTCCTTGGTGCTCTTCTGATCTTGAGGGGAAACCACCTAACACTGGAGAAGGGGACATCAGAAAGGACTACCCAGAACAATTTCCAGGGCTCACACAGCATGGGGTGCAGTTTGTGTTCCCCCCAGCCAGAATAGAAAGAGTTCCATTCATACATGTGATACTGGGTAAAATTGATTCAACAATGTGCCAACAAAAAGCACACTGATTTAACTAAAGGCTGCTTTGGACTTGTGCTGACAAAATTTAATAGTAAGCCCCAAGAGATCAACCTAATTCTAAATTATTTAAATGCATGCCAAAGCAAAATCCAATGATATTTAAAGAAAGACAACAAAATCCAGCAACTGACAGCATAAAAGTCACAATCCAATATCCAATCTAAACCTACCAGACATGCAAGGGAACAGGAAAATCTGACCTCTAACTGCAAGGAAAATCAATCAATAGAAAAAGATCCAAAAATTGTAAAGGTGAGAAAAATAGGAGACAAAGACAGTAAAACTTCTTCTACAAGTATATTCTATAAGTTTTAAAAGGTAGAGAAAAATATGACTCCACTAGTCAGCTTTCTGTCTCTGTGACAAAATATCTGAGATAAACCGTTTAAAAGGAAGAAAGATTTATTCTGGCTCACAGCTTCAGAGGTTTCAGTCCATGGTAGTTTGGTCCTGTTGCCTTTGGGTGCGAGGCAGGAACACATGGCAGAGGAAACCACTCGTCTCAGGGTGGGCAAAGAGATAGAGAGAGAGGAAGGAGCCCAGGTTCCAATGTCTCTCTCAAGGGAGCACCCCAAAGATCCACTTCTTCCAACCAACCTCCTGAAGGTTCCACCAACTCCCAGCAGCACCCTCAGCTGAGAACCAAACCTTCAACACATGAGATGTGAAGGGAGCTTTAAAATCCAGACCATAACAATGACTAAGATTAGAAAGAAAAGGAAAAGTACTGAGAGTGTTAATGTACTGCCCCTTTCTAGCACTTATGAACACATAGCAGACATGAGTAAGTCACAACTCCTGCTCTCTTGCAGTTCATCATTTAGTAGAAAAGCAGACACCGAAGCCATTAAATGTGACAGAATGTGATGAATGCTAGCGGAGTTGTAGTCAAAGTACTGCAGGGGCCCAGAGAGGTGGGATATGACCAGAAAGGTGGGATGTGGGGTAAGGTTGGGGTACTTATCCATTGGACAATCAGTTATAATAGCCAGTGTTTTACAATTAAAACATCCCCAAATAGTTATTATATGCCAAGAACTGTTAGGAAATTAGGAACAAAATGGATAAATAAAATTAAATGAACCCTCCTCTCTTAAAGGTGACATTTATTGACTTTTGAAACTCTTATATCACTTTGCCTTTGTTACAACTCGGTAGGTGCCATTTTCTCTCAGTCTGATAGATC